CCTCTCTCTTTTTTTCCCTCTCTCTTTTTTTCCCCTCTCTCTTTTTTTTCCCTCTCATTTTTTTTTCTCTCTCATTTTTTTTTCCCTCTCAATTTTTTTTTCTCTTTCCCCTCTCTCCCTCCCCATCTCCTCTTCCCACCATCTCCTTTTTGAACCCCAGCACTCTGGGAACCCCCTGCCTTATCCCTTACCCCCTGTAATCCCATTTTTTTGGAATACCAGGAGGTAAAAACCCATTCCTTTGTGCTTCCCCCTGCAGTTTATTCCTTGGAAAAAGCTCTACCACCGTTATGTGAGGAGGGAGGCCTGTGCCCTGCAGAGAGTCGAGCAGATCCTGCAGGGATTTTCCATCCCCCAGGAGCCCCAGGGCTGTGTGCTGGGGCTGGTCAGGTGAGTCCAGTTTGCACCTGGGCACCCTCAGCTTTTCCTTGCTTTGGCATTTTTGGGTTTGGCTTCTAAACACGTGGGAGATGTGCAGGGAAATGGAGGAGGAGAAGGGATTTTAATAGGGGGAAAAAAAAACGCTAAAAAATGAGACAAAACTTTTTTTTTTTTGTATTCTGTTTGGACACAAGCTCATGGAATCATGGAATTATTTAGGTTGGGAAAGGCTTCCAAGACATGGAAGGGTCACCCATGTCCCCAAGTGCCACATCCCCAGGGCTTGGAAATCCCTGCAGGGATGGGGACTCCAAACCTCCCTGGGCAGCTCTTCCAATGTCTCCCAACCTTTTCCATGGAGAAATTTTCCCTAAAATCCAATTTAAACCTTCCCCTCTCCTCCTGTCCCTGTTCCCAGATCCCAGATCCCTCCAAGAATTCAGGGAGTTGTGCAGAGCCACAAGGTTCCCTCCTGATCCCCCTTTTTCTCCAGCCCCTTCCCAGCTCCATTCCCAAGCCCAAAACTGATCCCATGATTCCAAGGAGTGTCCAGGTAGAGGATGAAATCTGGGAAGATGGAAAAGTGCTGGAATTTCTCTCCTGCCCTGCCTGGTGAGAAGTTGTAGAGACCATGATTCCATTTCCAATGAACTTTTTTTTTTGTGCAGCACCAGGCCAAGCTGGTGCTCAAAAAAAATCCCAAATTCTTCTTCATTCCCTGATTTCCATGGAATTCTTTCCCATTTTTCCCCTTTGTGCAGCACCAGGCTGAGCTGGGACAATCCTAAATTCCCTAAATTCTTAATTCCCTGATTTCCATGGAATTCTTTCCCATTTTTTCCCTTTGTACAGCACCAGCCTGACACCAAAATCTCAAATTCTGATCCCAAATTCTTCTTCATTCCCTGATTTCCATGGAATTCCTTCCCACTTTTCTGAGTCTGCACTGATTTATCCCCCACAGCTCCCACCAAACCCAATCCCAGGAGAAATAAATCCTTGACAACCACAAGTGCTTTGCTGAAATCCCTGGAATTCTGTGTGCTGGAATTGGGTTTGGAGCAAAGTGGTTTTGGCCTCTGGAATCATGGAATTCTTTGGTTTGGAAAGAACCTTAAAATCATCCAGTTCCACCCTCCCTGGGCATGGAATTCCAATAAAGGAGCAATTTCCAGCTTAAGGGCTGGATACAGGAATTTATTTATTTATTATTTATTTGTGTCAAAAAAAAAAAAAAAAGGGAATTCTTGTCTGAGTGGCTTTTAGACCAGGAATGGGCTGGAAATCCATGGATTGAAATTCCATGGAAAACACAGCAGGGATTGATGGAATTTTCAGCAGCCACACTTTGGAGGAGCCACAATTTCCTTGGAGAGTCAATGCCTCGGTTTTTTTGTTTTTTTTTTCCTCCTGCCCAGGTTTGTGGCATCCACAGGACCCAATGTGGATCCCAGTGGGGTTCTCCAGATTTTGGGAACTCATCCCCTCTTCCCAAAGGCTCAGCTCTGTGTCCTCAACAAATTCCCAGATTTACAGAGCAAGCCTGGGGTGAGTTTTATTTTTATTTCTGTTTATTCTGTCCCCAAACCTCTGGGTGTGTTTGTGGTGCCTCTTGTCACCAGATGGATTTGGAGGAAAATCCTGGAGTTGTTTTTATGGATTTTGGTTCATCTGGAATCGAGGAAAACAACTGGAAGTTGTTTTGGCTGCAGGAATGACCCCAAAATCCCCCCAAAAAATGACTTGGGAGCAGGCAGCAGTGCTCCAGTCACTCACCATTCCCCTGGGAACTCACTTGCAGGGGAAGAAAAATTTTTTGGGGGGAGATCCAAATTATCCATCGTGTCATTCCCATAAATGTGGATGGATAAAACTGGATGGGATGCAAATATGGGACACATCCCTAACACGTCCCAAAACTGTTGTGTGAGGTCACTCCCATATCCCAAACGTTCCTAACACATCCCAAACCTCCCACACCCATCCCAAAACTCTTCTTTGAGGCCCTTCCCACATCCCAAACCTCCCTAACACATCCTAAAACTCTTCTTTGAGGTTTTTCCCATATCCCAAACCTCCTTCCCATATCCCAGACCTCCCTAATACATCCCAGAACTCTGCTTTGAGATCCCTAACACATCCCAAACCTCCCTAACACATCCTAAAACTGTTTTGTGAGTTCCCTCCCACATCCCAAACCTCCCATACCCATCCCAAAACTCTTCTTGAGATCTCTCCCACATCCCAAACCTCCTTAACCCATCCCAAAACTCTTCCTTGAGGCCCTTCCCACATCCCA